GAAGGCTTGAGGGATTGTCCCCACCCTTCCTCTCTCTCCCCTTCCCTTCCCTTCCCTTCCCTTCCCTTCCCTTCCCTTCCCTTCCCTTCCCTTCCCTTCCCTTCCATCTTTCTTCCAGCAATTCCTAAGATTGTTTCTCAGAGTGTATTGAACTGATTCCAAACGTGTTTCACTTTGTAATGCAGATGTAGGCTGGGAATGTTGGGTCTAAGTTGGGGAACATACATTCTTCGTCAGTGACTTCTGATATTTGGACACAGCACACCGCATGCAGTAAAGGGAGCTACTTTTACTGGAGATTAGCAGGACGTTGGAATATTCTTAGTGGACACATCTGCCGTGCAATTGTTTTGGGATCATAGCCATTGCTTAGCAGAGCGTTTGAGCCTTGGAAGGTATGAGTGGGGGCCTTCTGAATGTTGCAATACAGCTGTAAGCGGCTGTTTTGAGCAGCCTTTCACCTGCACAATGTTTGCATTGTACTATGAAGAGAGGAGTAGTATCTCGCTACTATTTAAGGAGAAAAACTGATTTCTACCGTTTTGTAGTTGTATAAGACTGGTAGTTAAATGGGATAGCCATCCTTCTGTCATGGACAAGTTATCAAACTCTAAACTATTAAGAGAGAGGAACAAAAACCTATGAACTATTTAACAAAAAATAAAGAGTTTACATTGTGTTATAAATTATTATTTTTTAATTTATTTAATTACTTAAGGATTTGGCCATGGAATCTTTATAGAAAATACCTTATTTGTTACTATGGACGCCCACCTAGACTGAAGAGCTATGATCATCAAGTATCAGAGAACATTTTATAGCCTTGAGAGAAGAATAAAGAGGAAGAAGAGGACCATGTTATGCTTTTAGAAATCTTGGATGTCTTGTGGGAGAGGGAATAAGTAGGACGAGGTCACTCCATTTTTGCAGCAGATGGAGATCCACCTAGTTCTGAAGGAGCTGTAGTTCCAGTGGTTTGAGGTGGGGTGACAAACTGTGATAGCCACAGACCTGTATCCTGTGTGCTCTTGTCCTGCTGCAACTTGATGGTGGATGATAGTTTTCGTCTTCTAAAAGGCCCGAGAACATACAATGGGCCCTGCTCAGCAGACTTTGCCACCATAGCCCAAGGTTTCATGTTCAGAGTAGTTGGAAGTGGAGAAAATGTTGTTTTTAAAGCACGCATTGGCCAAGCCGGGAGAGGTAGACAATGTCTATTTTTATAAGAAGACAATGTCTGTTACTAAGAATGAAAGGGAAGTATTGTGTTGCTTGTTGCTGAAATGCTGAGGAAAACCATCTAGATCAGTGTTTCTCAACTGTGGCCACTTGAAGATGGGTGGACTTCAACTCCCAGAATTCCCCAGCCAGCCA